TTTTTTTTGGCCGCACGACATACTACCGTATGTCTTGATCTATTGTTTATCGAAAGCTTGTATTTACTTTCATAGAGCTTAATAGCCATTGAAAACCTCCAATACCTATGAAAAATATTACGTTGAGCCATATAAATCTCTTCACCAACAAATAAACACGCGAGTCTATAAGCAGATCATACTCAAGTAAGTTTATCGAATCTAGGAATAATTTAAAAGATATGCGCGCCATCAATTTCGCAGATGCGTTGCTCCAAGAAAGTGTAAATGAACCAAGATGTTTAATATTTATAAGTTAACCAACTTCTGAAGCCAGATAAGGCATAACTCTGACATATCCAAAATATTGTATACATTTATAAACAACAACAAAAATCAATATCCAAACGAGAGAAAAAAACTTAATACTTGAGTTAAGCAAAAACTAGGGTTAAAAGTATAGCAGGATCAATTTACTTAAGGTTTATTTAGAGAATGATCAGACTAACACATTGCTGTAAACACTTCAGAGTCAGCCTATCAGAAAAAAATATTTTCTGCTTGAAACCAGTGGCAAGAAAATGAACAAGTCGATGTAAGATAGCAAAAGTTAACATGAGATGATTAGATTATATAAAAATTACAACTAACATACACAACCTGAGATAAAAACAGTTTTTACAATAAAATACAGTAAGTTACGGTATTTATTTTGATATTCTTTTTTTTTTCAGTTAATTAAGAAGTTTAAAAATCATCCGGTTCTTCTATTCCTTATGAAAAGCAATGAAGATCAACTATTTATCATTCATAATTGGCTAGTTTACTAGCAATTAAAACATAGAAATATATACTCATCATGATATTGAATAAAATTCTGATCTCTGAATTACAGCTGAAATCTTTGGTTTCAAGAACATGATCAAAAAGGGCTTCCAATCTCCACTACACATGCTCATTCGATCAGATAGTCAGGCAGACGATTTATGTGTCACTTTTAAAGGTTTTTATCATGAATAATGTAGAGGGCGCTCCACTATGCTATCAGTTACAGACAAGAAAGGAACTCTTACAAAGTCAGCGACCATGTTTTTTCACTTGAAAGATAACGGTGTCGATGATTCGTAATCCAAACGGAACCTATCACAAACTTACTGTAGTTTATTAACATCATCAATCACTGCATGTAGCGCCGTCCCGCGGTCGGCACGTCAGATTCCCTAGGATATTAGCGAAGAAACGTAAAGGTAATTTAAATGTAAAGAATTATTCCGTTGGACGGTACATATCTGACATATATATATATATATATACAGAGAGAGAATGAGGGAGGGAGAGTATTATTCAGTTCTACCTCCTATAAATGTGTAAATGTATTTAACAAAAAAGTGAGCAAGATTATTAGCCGTAAGTCTATGGGCTTCTCACGTTAAAAATCAGGTTTTGATACCCGCGATGGGCACATCACATATAACCCATCTTATCGCCTTTGTTTAACAAAAAACAAACAAGAATCGTTTTAGAAAAATGTTTAATAATTCACAAATGAAAAAAACGTACGCTCACTCATTATGAAATATTATGTACTGAGTAGTTTGGTAAAAGTTTAGTAATAATATAAGGATCACCATAACATATTTGATATGATTCCAATAAAATTTATCTCATAATATATTACATATGGGGTAAAATATTTGTAAAAGTAAAAGAAAGTGGCACACACCATAAAATATCAAAATTGTAAGAAAGAATGACTGCGTTTTCATCTATTTATTACAATATTATTCAATTTCTTCAGTTAATTCACAAAATTATTTAAATCACATAAATAGGTTATCAGTAGATTGGAAGAATGATAGATCGTTTTTTGTTTTTGTTTTACATTAATTTAAATTATTTGTCAATATATTATCAATTGATAAACTTAAATGAACTGTATTGCTTTCGAAAGACCATTCTTAGGCGACTGGCAGTCTGGCCCTCTACAGGTGGTCTCGTAAAATTACACCATTAATCCATACTTTTATAAAAGGTTGACACTAATATTAGCAATAGCTGTCTTAAGTTTTTACATTCATTATTTTCATCTACGTAAGAGTACAAAATCATTATTATGTTTCTTACAAAAAGGCACTGTTAAAATAAAGTCCTGTCAAGTGGTAACTGTCTTCCAAATCGCAAGAGTAGTGGCACTAATGAGTCTAAAAAATGCTAAATCATTTAAAAACAGGTATATGAGCACACAATATAACAGTTAAAAGGAAAGGTTTTGCCGATATAAATTATAATAAAAATGTTCGCCCGTTGTTTATTGCTCTTATATTACAGTTATATTTAATTCACGAATTATACACCTATTAGATTGCTTTAATTAAAAATGAAGATTCCAAATTTATTGTCAGTAAGATATATTCACGGTATGGATTTTTGCTTTTGATACCGTCCCTGACTCAGAAAAAAGTGATCTTGATCGGCATTTAAAATAAAGATCAAATTAAATATCATAGTAATCAAAGTATGAATTCAGACTGGAAAATATTACACGTTACAAAACTGATCTCCTTACATTAAACGTTTGACTAGTCAAATATAGAAACAGTACCGCCGCTTTGAATCGTAAGTAATATTACACACCCAAATTATTACACCTTTCATTACCCAAATTAATTTCATGAGCACAATTTTACAATTGCCGCATCATAAAGAGTACTACGTCTGACTCGTCGAATGTTCTGTGGATGATAACTACTTCATAATCATCGTATCCTATTGATACAACATGTGGCTTTGAAATAATATACACTGATTCAGATGAACAAAACTTGTATTCTAGTTGCAACTTAAACTTATAAAAAAAAGTCACAAGATGATATGTTTGAAACTGAAAAATTCAAGTTTTTTGTGTGATAACAGTTGAACACAAGTTTTCTTTAGACCACTTACATGATGTTTTCGCTTTGGGATGTTAATGTAATGAGAACCCTCCCAAAGGCAGCAAATATACACCTGGAAAAAAGTTAAGCACCCCCGTGTTTTTTTCAAGTGATTCAG